ACGTTTAAGAAAGGAGAAAAGAAAGAGCGAATGAAAAGGAAGAAATAATGAAAGAATATTTTCGCGTTTTTATTTGCAAAGATGAGAGCATTTTTTTAGAATGTTATTTGCAGACGAAACCAAATAAAAACGAAAAACAAGGAGTTGAAGCTAGCTATCAGTTCTGAAAGGCTATTGGCCAAACATACAACCATTTTTTTTTCTATTTTTTTCTTTCATTTTTCTTTTTTTTTTTTAAGAAAAGACATAAACTTACAAACAATCGGACCGAGAGAGATATGGAAGAGATCACGAGATATTTGAAGATAACTCACATCGACAAAGCTCCAAATTTGAATTTGAAGAAGGCAGACGAATAGAAGAAGTGGGAAGATGCGAGAAAGAGGGATGGGGAGAGACATGAAAGAAGAGAAAGAAATGAATAGTATCAAACTGAAAAACAAAATGGCTGGTTTTCATTCATCAATGTATCAATGACAGAACAGCGAGCAGAGAGAAAGAGTAATGTGTACAAAATGATGAAGAGAGCAAGACACAGCAGAACAAGGAAAGAATGAGATAAAGAAACTTAACATGCTGTACAGAGTAGAAACTCAGAAAGCCGGACAAGATTAGAAAAAACGATAGATCGATAAACAAACTGATAGATAGATAGATAGATAGATAGATAGATAGATAGATAAAGTAGGTATGTTTGTTTTTTTTATATTTATTTTATTTATTTTTGTGGGGTTGGGATAAGTTGTTGAGTAGGTAGCTGGTTGGGTGTATAGACACTTTGTAAAGAATTAGTATGCTTATTATGATGAGACTGTTTTCAACTTCTTAACTGCTGCGACTTGAAATGGCTGGGGTCTTTGCAATAATCAAGCAGTTCCTCGAGAATGCATTTGTTGTAACAGCATTCGCAGACTATACCAGTCCAGTTTCGATCCCGTTTAGTCAGGTAAGACTTGGCCTGTCTTTTACTAATTATTATATCCCTAAGTCCGTTGCCTCGCCGACCGACTGCTCGTGATGTTGGTACTGCAAAAGAAAAAAAAGATGCATAAGATATAATTATACACATGTATATCTTGTCGAATTTTTTTCAAAATGGAAATTATAAATTTACATTTATTATAATTATTTTCTTTTTTTAAAAAAAAAAATGATTCCATCGCGACACAGAAAAGTCTGTTTCAAAACTGAAGTTTAATTTTTTATAACTAAATTTACAACTTTAGTTTCAGTTTTGAAACAGAAATTTCTGTGTCGCCATGGAAACATTTTTTTTTTTTAAATAATTATAATATAATACTGTTGTATCGAGCACTTTTTTTTTTTTTTTTTTTGTTTTTTTTTTGTTTTTTTAATAAAAATAATTACTAAGAACACCGGATTATAAATCTTACCGTTCTTTCTTATTATGTTGATATATGTAAATTTACATTCATGTTTTTTTCTTTACTGACATTCACTCAATTCAAGGCTCAAGAGCGACCCAATGTAGAGTGTTACTGGATGAGGCATATGATATGAATGTAAGAGAAGGAACTGGAGATTATGACTCTATTCAGGATAGTTAACGATTGATTATTGGTTTAAAAATCAAAGATTGTTGCGTTCAAGGAAGCATCCACAATGCTTCAGAAAAGGTTGAGTTGTATCTCCTCCATAATGTTGGAATACGGTGGGAATGGAGGTGGTTCGACTCTGTGGACGCAGCATTGTTGTAAAGGAGCCTCATTCAAACATCTGACGTGGAAATAGCAATAGGGTAGCGATAGGCTTACGAAGTTGTCTCTGTAGAAAACAGTTTGCAGGGTGGAAAATGTCATTGCCCGGAAGCCCGCGTAAACGACTTTGAACTCTATCAAGACGAGAGAGATTATATGGCAGTAATACATTTTATGGTCTAATCTTTCTCTTGTAAAAATAAAGCATGACAGAAAGATTTTGGAGGCACGGTGGAGTAATGGATAGCGGCTCGGATTGAGGAATCAGAGAGCCGGGGTCGAATTCCAGTTGAATCCATTACATTCACTTACGTGCTAATACACTTGGGAAAAGGTATGAATCTTCTTCTCCCTCCAGATATGGGTAAATATCAGGACTGACCGGGTTCTATAGCTTTGGATGGCAACTGATCTACCGCAGAAAGAAATGGCAACCTACTGCGGGAAAATATCTGCCTGGTCAGAAAGATGTATCGAAAGATACATAATCGTCTAAGCGTGTCTCACGCATGGAAAAAAGAAGACAGAAAGAGTTAATATTCAATACTAATAAATTAGACCCAGCGTAAATATTTGATAGGAACAAAAAACTGCGAATGTCAAAAACAATATTCAGATATTTCTACGTAGATTTGTGATGTACTCAAATGTAAAAAAAAAATATCAAAATATAATATCAAAAAATAATTGGAACTAAACTAAGGCATTTACTTTCCTTAAAAATCTATATTTCTTTTTCTCGTTCTATCCTTTTCTCTATATATTTCTCTCTCAACTAATGAGAAGGCAACTCACATATAAAAAGAGGAGGAAGAAGAAAAGACTGAAAAACTGCTGCACAATGGATGTTCGCTTGTCCAGGGTCCAGTTATAATCTACTATAATCTACCAAAAACAAGAGAGGCTCCACGCATAACTTCCGCTATATATATATATATATATATATAAAGAAGAACAGCGGAAATAAAAAAAAATGATTTGGACCAATGAAAAGAACAACGAGCCTTTTGATGTTAGCCGAAACCAAGCTTGGCGTCAAGTAGTCTGGAGCCTTTCAAAATTGTATATAAAGAGACAACCGAAAGGAGATAGTCGGCAACCGGTCCAATTGTGTAGCGTGAAGAACTAAGCGGTAGTCTGCTTAAAAAGTTTTCCAACTTTTTAAACGCCGTTATACGGAGTAGCTTTGCCCCGCAACATATTTGCAAAGTAACCACACTCATGACAGGTGCCAGTAAGATGCCGTCTACTTTCAAACCCTGGCCCAACTTTCGCTAAACAGGTATATGAAGTACTCACTTCTGTTGAAGACAATTAAATAAACCTCTAATATTTGGTTATATCTTTGAGTCTGTTCTTTTAGTTCGAAGTGTTTCGAATTTTCCAATAAACAGACACTCTAGCACTTCTCCAAATATTTACTCAGATATATATATGACAATTTGTTCCACTACTTTTCGCCTTCTTTGAGGTAGCTTCATGATTCCATCCTCGCAGAAATTGGTATCATTCTGGGTGTTTCAAATGGCCTAAGAGGTTTCTATAAACTTCTAGAGGATTTTATAGAGGTCGAAATAAGTGATAATTCGAAAGTGTAAGGTCAGGTGACTACGGGGGTTGTAATGGAGGACAACCTTCCTATTAAACAATCCCGGACACCATTCGTCGATTTTTGCTTTTATTCGGATCCAGTTGCAATAGTACTTGTCGGAATTAAAATTTTCTCGATCCTATTGACAGACGTGTTGAAATGTCAACTTTCAGAATATACAGGGAGCGATGGGAAAATTGTCGCCATTTTATATTTTTAATTTCGCGCATGCGCGTTGTTCATTTTGATTTTGTCGACTGCACAGTATAGTAGGGTCAGTTGGGCACCATCTATGAGAAAAAGAGAACCATGATGCAACTCACTCCGCCACAAATTTGGAAACAGCATGCTGTACTGCTTGGATCTACTTTTTTCTTTGTTAAACATCCTGATATTCCCTTGTGGAGGGATTTTCTCAATATGGTGCAAAACGCGTCAGAAGCTCCAATACAAACATTTCAGAGTGTTTGGGGGTCAATTTGCGGACAGTGCAGAGGACTCGGAAAGAGTTGGATGAGTCTAATGTGGATTATGAAGTTACGACAGCTCGGAAAATTCACTCTGATCATTCTGGTAAGAAAAAAAACTAACGAATATGATGATAAGAGCCCCAGTCTCAACACAGTGACTTGCATTATCGTATAAGAATGCTCAATATCGCAGAGTGTTTTTAGATATAGACAGACAATCTGAAGATCTAGTGACACGTGAAATTAACAGATTCCATGCAGTGGTAATATATATTTGTTTACTTTATATCTACATATTTTCGACTGTTTACAATCACATCATATCGGTCGATCTATCTTTCTATCTCACAATCTCTACATTATCCATATACGGTGCCAGTTGCTGAAGCTATTCTGTTTGATTACTAATTGTGAATTCGAATTCTCACTAGGTGCTCTAAATTTGTGGCCTTGTGCCAAACAAAGCTTAGTACATTAGTATTCAAATCTATCTACTTTTGTTGAATTACCTGTATTCGATTTGTCTCGATATTTTTTCTTCATCACTCGTCGTATTCATGAGCATTCACGTAGAAAGTTTGCAAAAGTGATTAACAGACAGATCACGAATCACATATTAAATAGTGGAATTTCACAGTGGCGTGAAGAAATGGCTTCGTTTGTCTGTTTTTTTCTTGTGATCAGAATAGTATTTTTTGACTTCACTGTTCGCACGACAAGGATTTGTTTGTGACAAAGTGCACGTTTATTTTCGTACCCTGAGTAAACGACTAATCATAAACAAAACATTGATGGAGGTGGGTAGGTGAGTCGTTGTGACGCCGACTCTTGGCGAAAAAATGCTGTCTTGTCGATAGACTGTCAAAGAGTGACGCCAAATAATGCGACGTTTACGACAAAATTCCTGATTCTTTTACAGTATTATAACAAAAACATTTGCCAATCTATATAGTCGGAATTTACGAGCATGAATGTGTATATGAGCGAGAAAGAGAGAGGGTAAAGAAAATAATGGAAAAGAAAGAAAGGAAGAATTAGTTACGAGAAAGAAAGAAAGAAAGAAAGAAAGAAAGAAAGAAAGAAAAATAATTTGTTAAACGAAAGAAATAAATAAAGAATTGGATAAAAGAAAGAAAGAAAGAAACAAACAATTGGTTAAGCGAAAGAAAGAAAGAAACAAAGTAACAAATAAACAATTGGTTAAGAAAAAGAAAACATTGTTTAGAAGAAAGAAAGAAAGAAAGAAAAGGAAGGAAAGAGAAAGGAAAGAAAGAAAAGAAAGAAAGAATTGGTTAAAAGGAAGAAAAAAGGAAATAAAGAAGCAAAAGAAAGAAAGAAACAAACAAACAATTGGTTAAGCGAAAGAAAGAAAGAAACAAAGTAACAAATAAACAATTGGTTAAGAAAAAGAAAACATTGTTTAGAAGAAAGAAAGAAAGAAAGAAAAGGAAGGAAAGAGAAAGGAAAGAAAGAAAAGAAAGAAAGAAAGAATTGGTTAAAAGGAAGAAAAAAGGAAATAAAGAAGCAAAAGAAAGAAAGAAACAAACAAACAAAGTAATAAAAGCAAAACTGGTCAAGAGAAAGAAGGATTTGATTAAGCGAAAAAAGAAAGAAAATAGAAAGAATGAAAGAATTTGCTAAACGAAAGAAAGAAACAAGGAATTAATGGTTAAGAGAAAGAAAGAAAGAAAGAAAGAAAGAAAGAAAGAAAGAAAGAAAGAAAGAAAGAAAGAAAGAAAGAAAGAAAGAAAGAAAGAAAGAAAGAAAGATAGATAGAAAGAAAGAAAGAAAGAAAGAAAGAAAGAAAGAAAGAAAGAAAGATAGAAAATGAAACAAAGAAAATTCCTCTTTAGTAGTTTGCTCTCAGCAAAGATTACTTGTGTTTCCATGCGCTAAGATTCGGACTAATAATAAAAAGAAACAAAAACAAACAAAAACAAACAGAAAAACCTCTACCAGGCGTAATGTCTATCGACGCTGGAATTCGAATCGGTTAATCGAGTACGAATCATGTTTATCATTAATAGTCTGGAGAAAGGCATGAATTCACTTCTCCCTGTGTTCTGCATAATATTGAGAAAATCCCTCCACAAGTGCATATCAGGATGTTTAACAAAGAAAAAAGTAGATCAGTAAGATCTTGGGCAAATTGTTCAGGCAAAAGTAACAAAATGCTATTATATACAAAGTCAACATTAGAACGGACTAATAATAAAAGGAGGGAATACACGAAAAAATATCATCTTCTTTTATGTGCCATGTCTCTTCAGGGTGTAGGCGATCATAGCTCTCCACATCTTCCTGTCCCGCATAGCTCTTAATAAGTTTTATCTTTTTGTTATTTCTCCCAGACACTGATGCACCATCCACTTATTTAAGCCCGTTAATTATGTCATGCGTTGCTTTCCCTTGACCCCCTTTCCATCTATTCACCCTGTGAGTATCAGATTTTCGAAGCCTTCCTTCCTCATTACGTGCGCCAGAAATCTCAACTGCTTCTTCCTGGTGTTAATTACAAGTAATTACAAGTCTCATTTTGTTTCCATTCTCTCCAAAACCTCATCGTTGCACACATGCTCGGCCCACGGTTTCCTCGGGATTCTTCTGCAGAACCACATTTCTGTCCCTTTACGTGTCCCAGAAATTTTAGCCGCCTCTTTGTGATGTTAACTATAAGTTTGTTTGCATTCCCTGTCGCCTCCCTCTGTCTGTTCTACAAATACTTCCATGGAAATTGCTCCGAGGAGCTGCATTCGCTGACATCCCGCTCTCACCACTTCACCGTCGAAACTCCTAAATATAGCCGCCTCTTCTACTCTAATATCTTCATGTCTCGCACCACTCGCCTGTGGAACTCCCTTCCCTATTCCTGTTTCCCTGTGAGCTATAATCTCCAGCTATTCAAGTGTAATGTCAATCGACATCTCCAGTTGCTTGATCTATCCACTACCCTCATCCTTTCTTCTATCACTCCTATCTGATCTTGCTCTAAATTTTCTGTAACCCCTTGCGTCCTAGTGGCTTCCCGCCTTGCTTGGGTTGAAATGCTTAAAAAAAAAAAACGTCATCGTTGCTCACACGCTCGGTTCATGGTATCCTTAGCATCCTTCTGTAGAACCATACCTCCGTTGCCTCGAGTCTCTTCTTCATCTTTGAACAGACCGTCCAATATTCGCTGTCGTGAAGGAGGACAGATATCACGTAGCAGTTCAGTACTCTTTTCTCTGTTACCAGCGAAACCCTCCTGTCTCGTAATACACTGCCTAGCTTTTGGAATGCCTCATTGGCCATCTCAATACGTCTTCGAATCTCAGTGCCGTACTTTTCGTCCTCTGTTAGAACACTTCCCAGATATTTAAATTTATGCAGTTGCTTGATTATAGTGTCCCTGACCTGTAAATCGCATTTCGGGCTCAAAATTTTACTAGTCTTCTTGTAATTTATGTTTAGTCCCTTCTTCTCGCCCTTTTTCGCTACATTCTGTAGGAAGTTTTAGGCCGGATAAGTGATCAAACTTTTAAACGAAGGGTGTTCATAAAGATAGTTAGCTGATAAATACTGTCTCCTTCAGAGTAAAATTTATGCAAAATTGCTGTGTATATATATATATATATATATATATATATATATATATATATATATGTATATACACACACACACATATTCCTGAAACATAATTAACATAGACCATATACAATTCTACATGAAAAAGACTATGTACATAAAAGCAATACCAATCCAAACAGATAACTGAAATCTTTTATAAGATCAGCGTTCCGTTTAAATATGATCACGTCGTCGTCGTCACGTGGGTGATGTTGTGATGTTGGATTGGTATTGCTTTTATTGCAGATGCGTATCCGTTTCTTTTCCTGGCTACACACTCCTTTTGCTTTGATCTTAGTTCGCAGAAAGAGGGAAAGAAGAGGTTTACTTTGTAGTTTGTCAGCGCGGTAGCTTTTTATGCGTGGGCAAGAATGGGGCTGTAACTTCTATGCGTCTCATTTCAAAATTTTGTTCACTGCCCCACAATTGTTGCACACAAAATACTTGATATTTATCTATCAATGGAGGAGATTTCCAAAAGTGAATGTGAGCAAGGACACTGATCGAGAGATTGGAAGAGATTTAAGGAGTTTTGAACCAACATGTTAATGGCTGTTGTGCCCGAGTCTAAACCGTTTGGGTCCTAGCTATGGGCAAACAATGAACCCAGTGTATGAAGGTAACTCATTGGCATCCAACGCCACCAATAAAAACCATTAAGATATATAGGACCCTTAGTCCTTGTTAGGACATATTCTTTGGAGAAATGAAACTCCGATGTAACACCTGCCTCATGAATCCCGGGTATGACGATAAAGTACATCCTGCAGCAATTAATCTGATAGGGAGATTGGTGTTTTTGAGGAATGTAGAACCACCACTTAATTGTTGTCGTTCCCAGGTCCACCCGGACTCGGAGTGTTAGCACTTGTTAGCCTCCCAGCTATGGGCAAATGGGGAACACCCAAACAAAAATAAATCACGATGAAAGTATAAAAATTACTTTTTATGTTTTCTTAAAAAGTTTCATGAAATATAAAGATACGTTTTGGGGTTTTAATAAAACCTTTCATGAAAGTATAAAAATACATTTTTGTGTTTTTATAAAAAGTTTCATGAAAGTATAAAAATACATTTTTGTGTTTTTATAAAAAGTTTCATGAAAGTATAAAAATACATTTTTGTGTTTTTATAAAAAGTTTCATGAAATATAAAAATACATTTTTGCGTTTTTATAAAAAGTTTCATGAAAGTATAAAACTACATATTTGTGTTTTTATATAATTTTCATGAAAGTATAAAAATACATTTTTGTGTTTTTATAAAAAGTTTCATGAAAGTATAAAAATACATCTTTGTGTTTTTATAAAAAGTTTCATGAAAGTATAAAATACATTTTTGTGTTTTTATAAAAGTTTCATGAAATATAAAATACATTTTGTGTTTTTATAAAAAAGTTTCATGAAAGTATATAAAAATACATTTTTGTTTTTTTTTATAAAAAGTTTTCATGAAAGTATAAAAATACATCTTTGTGTTTTTATAAAAAAAGTTTTTTCATGAAAGTATAAAAATACATTTTTGTGTTTTTATAAAAAGTTTCATGAAAGTATAAAAATACATTTTTGTGTTTTTATAAAAAGTTTCATGAAAGTATAAAAATACATCTTTGTGTTTTTATAAAAAGTTTCATGAAAGTATAAAAATACATTTTTGTGTTTTTATAAAAAGTTTCATGAAAGTATAAAAATACATTTTTGTGTTTTTATAAAAAGTTTCATGAAAGTTTATAAAATACATTTTGTGTTTTTTATAAAAGTTTCATGTTTTTTATAAAATAAAAAAAATACATTTTGTGTTTTTTTTATAAAAGTTTCATGAAATATAAAAATACATTTTTGTGTTTTTATAAAAGTTTCATGAAAAAATAAAAATACATTTTTGTTTTTTATAAAAAGTTTCATGAAAGTATAAAAATACATTTTGCGTTTTTATAAAAGTTTCATGAAATATAAAATACATTTTGTGTTTTTATAAAAGTTTCATGAAAGTATAAAAATACATTTTTGTGTTTTTTTTTATGAAAGTATAAAAAAAGTTTCATGAAAGTATAAAAATACATTTTGTGTTTTTTAAAAAAAGTTTCATGAAAGTATAAAAATACATTTTGTGTTTTATAAAAAGTTTCATGAAAGTATAAAAATACATTTTGTGTTTTTAAAAAGTTTCATGAAAGTATAAAATACATTTTGTGTTTTTTATAAAAAAAATACATTTTTTGTTTTTATAAAAGTTTCATGAAATATAAAAATACATTTTTGTGTTTTTTATAAAAGTTTCATGAAAATAAAAAATACATTTTGTGTTTTTTAAAAAGTTTCATGAAAGTATAAAATACATTTTTTGTGTTTTATAAAAGTTTCATGAAAGTATAAAATACATTTTTGTGTTTTTATAAAAAGTTTCATGAAAGTATATAAAATACATTTTTATAGTAAAAAATACCAACAAACCATTTTTATATAAAAGATGGCTAACAATATATTTTATAGCAAAATGACCAACAATACATTTTATCTGTAGCATAAAACTGAGTCCAAAATATTTAGATTTCGATATTAAATACACTATAGACGTTGATATACCGCTAAACCAAACCAACCAACCAACCAAAATCAAGTGTGAATGTCTGTTTATGCTTTTAAAATGTTATTTACAATAAGTATAAGTTTCTTCATGTTTAACATAATACAACTGATATACATAATCCGCTATTTTAAATTTTATACCAAATTTAGATAATTCGTTTTCGATGGTATTCAATGAGATGTTCCGCCTGAGGTCCGGTCAGCCGCGCAACATTCCGTAACATCCACCAGCGCCGTGTTCGCCGGCTCGGTCCCGATCTTCTCTACCAGTTCGACTCGCCATCTGCAGACTGGAGACGACTTCGCGGCAGATCACGCAGTTGCTGGAAGGAGGTCGACCACCAGCGCATCCAGCTGCTTAATCTGACACTGGAGGATGTTCTCACGCCCTCCCAAGACCGGGAGAGTTGGAGGAAGAAGGCGGTACTCTTGGAATCATCGCATGAGATTTAGAAGCAGTTGTAGATATGGAGAGTTGTTGGCATTATCACCAGTTATTTTTTTTTCTAATGAATTTGAATGTTTGGCGTTTAGCATTATACAGAAAAACGAAAAGCCTATAAAATGTAGAAAAATTCACAGATAATAATCCCAGTAATCTTGACAAAACTAGATCTATAATTCTAGATCAGCGTTTCTCAACCGCCTTCATTTTATTTAACAAGTATCACGAGCAAAGACAGAAACTGTATCCT